AACTAAAATTAACCCTTAAGAAAACACAAGAACAAAACAAAAAACAAAAGATTTGGGTTGTATATCATTGTCAAGAAAAAAAAAAGGTTCCTAGTTACTTTCATGTTGAATTTTAAATCAAAAAAATATGTGTACTGTTAATTGAATGGGTTTTAGATTCTTAATTTGAAAAAAAAAAATTATGCAAAACAATTTTTATTTATTTTATAAATATAAACGATAGTTTAAACTATAAGGAAAAAAGGGGTTTCACACACTCCAAAGGTGTCATAGGGGTTCAAACCTAAGTGTAATAGCATCTCCAATCGATGTGTCAAATTGCCACATGGACATGAAATGACAAAAATTGAAGGTTAAAGTTGCTCCAATCGAGTAGTCAAATCCTGCATGGATTTGAAGGCTATAAGATATATGTCAAAAATAACATATAAAAAAGCTTGATTTCAAATATTATTTTAATATTTTTTTAGTTATGGACCCCATTATCATTTACTCTTTTTTAAAACCTTATGCATCATATAGGCCTCATTTGTTTTTAAAAATATAATAAAATAATATGATATTTAGCATTTCAGGTGGAGTTAAATTTTGAATGCTGCTGAACGAACCCTAAAATTAACTCAGTACACCCTACTACCAAACTATTTATTAAATTACTAATTTACTCTAATATAAAATGACCAAAAAAAATATATTAAATTATAAAACAAATATAATTTTAACAACCTCACCTACTCAAGAGTCATGCTTTGGTCCGCCTGCTTTGATGAAAACTGATGGGTTAGTTTGTGCCAATCGATTTAAAGCCCCACCACTTCTTTTCTTTTTTTTTTGGACGAAATCACTGCAGTGCCAGTGCCTTTGTGCAGTTTTTGTTCCTTGATTTTTGTGGGGGCCTTCTGCTTTTGTGCCCCAACATTGGATTGGATTGGGTAGAAGATTAAAGCAGGGGGCTTTCTTAGTGGCGCACAATCAAGCATATACTTGATGAGATGAAGTTGTTGAAAGAACTTCAGGATCACTTGGGTTTGTTCCCTTCCTAAAAACTCTGCCATCTTTGATTTGATTTTAAAAGTTTGAATCTTTAACGTCTAGCAAAAATCCAAGTGAATTTTTCTGCAAAACTTTTTCTGCATGTGATGTCATGCTATATTGGAACAGGACATGGAACCACAAGCTATGAATTTGTATTAGGGTGTATTAGGGGTATATTTGGTAGTTAAATATGGTGTATTTTGTTAATTTTATATTTCAATTTAAATATTAGGGTGTACTCAGTTAATTTTAGGATTCGTTTAGCAACTTCCAAAGTATCAAATTACCACATAAGCCATCAAATTCAAATTTAACATTTTGCATATCTACAATTATGCTCTCTATTTTTTAGTTAAAACTTAGCTAAAAATATATAAAAGCTATTTTAGGAGCTCTTTATAAACTTTTAACTCTAATCATACTCTCTAGTTTAGGGAGTCATAAATACTATAACTCTTTTTTAATTGGCCCATATCTAAAAATATATATATATAATAATTAGCATTAATTAAAGGTTTAAAATACTCATAAAATATAGCAGCATTAAATTATAGGGAAACATTAGGAGTCCTTTCTCTTTCCTCAGAACTATGAGCTCTTAGAAGTCTTCCTATTTTAAGAAGTGGATAGTGAGCATAGTTGGAATTATATTTTTCCAATTCCTTCTTAAAATTTGTCTGAGAAGGTGATTTAGGGATCCCATTATGGATGCTCTAAGACCATTGGTATGCAAGTTAAAACCTTTTTTCTCAGCACTAGATCCAGTTGGCCAAAATGGTATTCTTTTAGGTAAATATCAATGTTGCTAGTTTTTGTCTATCAAAAAACAAGGTTGAGTTTGAAATTATGTGCATTGGCTAACTCATGAGTACGACCCTTCCCTACATAATAGTTGTACTTTTGTGCCTTTATGTTTTATGGCCCCATCATATGTCCCCAGATAAGACTAATGTGTATTTAAGTCTAACCCGTATATAGGTCAACTTTCTTGTATATATTCTAAGAGTATCTACAACCGATATGTCAAATTCTCACGTGGACATGAAACGACAAAAATTAAAAGTTAAAATTGCTCCAACCGAGCAGTCAAATCCTACATGAATTTGAAGGCTGGGAGAGATATGCCAAAACCTATTCCATGTGATATCAAAGTGAATAGAACTTGTTCCTACAAAATCGACTAAGAAAAAGATACCTAAGAGCATCTCCAATGGAGATGTCAAATACAAAAACACCTAATTTGAATTTGATGGCTAATATGGCTATTTGATATGTTGTATAACTTTATACTCCACCCGAAATGTTAAAAAATACTAATATTTTTCAATAGGTTTAAAAAATAATAAAAGCTGGTGGAGCCAAAAGAAATCCGATGGCACCAATCAAAGACAACAAACAGTAATAGTAATTAAAGCTAAGTGGGGCCAATGAAAATAAAAGATTCAAAACAAGGAAATAACGCCTGGGTATGTTGGCGTCAATTTTGACGTCTTTGCTCCAGCCATCTTTTTCATGTCATCAATGACAACTCGGTTGGATTGGATCTCCAAGTAGCTTCAATTGTTACCTTTTACAATGCCACATGTCATTTAACTAGTCAGTTGGAGATGCTCTAAGAGTTCGTATATTATTTTTCTATACATACATTAATGCATGTGAGACATTCGTGACAAAGTGAGAGCATTAAGAACGAACCGAAAAACACGATGTGTATGTGGATAACCTTATATACTTTTGTATACTTTTGCACTTCCATATACTCTTGATATATATATATAATGGATGACTAAATGGAATACGCACGTGTTATCATCTCAAAAGTAGGATGACTTTATAAATTTCTTCTGTTCTCTTTTGGTTACTAATTTGGTATACATGCTGGTTCGAAGGGTGATTTCCCTCCTAGCAGTCTGCGCGCCAAGATCCTTGGGTCTTTTGGGTGTTTTTGTTTGAAACTTGTTCCCTTTTCTATGTGCTGGAACTTCCCAGCAGCTCTGCACATGTGGTCTTCCAAGCTCTTCCGTGGCTTTGTCTTTCAGCCAAATGTTGAAGCCTTTGCTGCTTCTTACTTCTAATTGTATGGGCTTTCTAAGATGGCAAGTCAACCTACCAAACAAATGGGCTAATCTCCTCAAGTTTTGGGCTATATTGGTTAATTTTAGTGGGCCATTTGGGTTGGGCTTTTTGGTTGGGATATTTTCTCTCTTGTGCTTACCCATATTTTTGGGCCTAAGAAATGAGCCTGAGTTCTGAGGCTCCCAAGCGACCCGGAACCTCCATTTCTCAATCCATCAATGGGCCTCATGACAACTTATTACCATTCATACCACAACCCACTCAAGCAAGCCCCAGGCATTTGAGTGGCTTGGGCCCACTTAGGCTTGTAGCGTGGTTGGGTGTGAAATAATAATTTCCCGCTTGGCATGCTTTAATTTTATCGTCCTTGAAGAGAGACATGATGCTTGACAGGATAATTAGCATGTGCTCGTAAAGCTAGGGTATTTTATAAGCTCATCTCGATTCTTAGCATGACTGATCATTTATTTGGCATGGCACGTGGATTGTGGCTCGTGCGAGTGCGTGTGATGAATTTTTGCGTGCTCCCAGTCGGATATTTTCTTAATAAGGTGTGGTACTGGGCCGGGAATTTATTCGGGCCCAACTGTGGATTTTTTGGGCCTCAACAATACCTAAGAGCATCTCCAATGGAGATGTCAAATACAAAACACCTAATTTGAATTTGATGGCTAATGTGGCTATTTGACATGTTGTGTAACTTTATACTCCACTCGAAATGTTAAAAAATACTAATATTTTTCAATAGGTTTAAAAAACAAAAAAAGCTGGTGGAGCCAAAAGAAATCCGATGGCACCAATCAAAGACAGCAAACAGTAATAGTAATTAAAGCTAAGTGGGGCCAATGAAAATAAAAGATTCAAAACAAGGAAATAACGCCTGGGTATGTTGGCGTCAATTTTGACGTCTTTGCTCCAGCCATCTTTTTCATGTCATCAATGACAACTCAGTTGGATTGGATCTCCAAGTAGCTTCAATTGTTACCTTTTACAATGCCACATGTCAATGGTCAGTTGGAGATGCTCTAAGAGTTCATATATTATTTTTCTATACATACATTAACGCATGTGAGACATTCGTGACAAAGTGAGAGCATTAAGAATGAACCGAAAAACATGATGTGTACGTGGATAACCTTATATAATTTTGTATACTTTTGCACTTCCATATACTCTTGATATATATATATATATATATATAATGGATGACTAAATGGAATACGCACGTGTTATCATCTCACAAGTAGGATGACTTTATAAATTTCTTCTGTTCTCTTTTGGTTACTAATTTGTTCAAGTTCAAGTTTTGACGACCATCCAAATTTCAGTGAATGATGCCAGTCATGACATTTGCTTTGGTTTTACGTTTCTTATCCTGAAGGTGGAGTTTTCAAGCTTATGGAACATGAGGATTAGAATTTTCAAATAGAACCAAAGGACTGATTTGCAATTGTGCAGTATCAAATATGTATGGCATCGAGCGTTGGAAATAACCTAATCCTCATGCAGTAAACAACCAGTAGACAAGCAAACATAAGTGATGTGATGTATATTTATCCAAGAAACATGTGTCATTTATAATGTCATATCTATTTTTAAATCGGTCAAAAACAGATGGATTCTATTCTATGGTATTTGAGTTGCCAACCGGGATCTAGCCCAATTGAAGGCTCTAACCCTTTCCTAACTTTGGCAAACATAAAACAAAAATTGTATTTGAGTTAATTTTATTGATAATAAGCATCCTTTTAAAATACCCAATATCCACTTGGCTTTGCGTTCTATCAGTAAGCTCTGATCGATCCATATCAAATAGAACATTAAAATAAACAAATTTCAACAAGATGAGAAAACTCTGAATTGTTCAAAGGAAGAGAGAATTCAATCAATTATGACAACAAAGAAAATACTGAAATTTATTGTTTGTCTGCCTCCCACTCAAAACCCTCTCTACTACTACAGCAACGCTGGTACATATCAACTCCAACAAATCTGCAATGTGCACTGAAGAAACTAGGCCTGATGGCAACAATCCTCATCACTCACCAAAGAATAAAAGCCGCTTTACACAATAAATATGTATAACTATGATACAAGAATTGACACCACATGCACAACAAAAGAAACGATAAATAGAAGCCGCACACTTGCATGCGCACACAAAAACTTGGAACCCGAAAAAAAAAAAATTAATAATGAGCATGCAACATTGAAAGCACCATCAAGCGCACACATCACCTAACTCGACTAGCAGCAGTAGTACATAAGATACAACGCATACGAGAGTCACCCGATTGGGTATCATCATCATCTTCTTCCACAACACGGTCATCATACTCATTATCTGCTACTCTCTCACTGGAAGTGGCCCCAGTCCCTTTTATTCCACTAGTATAGGTGGAATCCATAAGACAAGTCATGTGATAAGCATGACAGCAAAAGAAAACGATGACATTAAGGCTTTGTATAGAAAAGGGATCGAAACACATGCAACACCTTGCACCGCCCCTAGGTTTTGATTTAACCTCCATACTTCTCACACCTGGTGATTTCTCAATCACCTGAGAAGCCCTACTATCATTCCTTTTCGTCCGTGCCTCGTCTTCTTCATTGCTCAAGTAAATTCCATGTATTGCCTCTTTGTAGTATTTGACCAAGAGGTTGACAATATCAGCCTGTTTCCCAATTACACTCAGTCTCAGAATTTTTACACCGCACTCTATTCAAATCTAACAAACTTAATTGGAAGACAGGAGTACCTTAAGGATATCATTGCACCCATGTCTTAGAGATGTTTCAGTCCTGTAATTGGTGATGATTTTCACTAGGCGATCCCTAAGCCTGAAACCAAAAATTGCACAAGGTCAATACAAATACTTCTATAAAGACTACTCCAGAACCTTAGTATTTATCACTGACAAATATCCAGGTTATGTTATGTTTATAGCAAGTTCCAGCATATATACAACACAGATGTGTATACATAAGCACATACAAAAATATGTATATACGTACCCATATGAGCTTCCTATACACTAAGGCGTATAACACAAAGATATATGTTGAAACTTGCTTCCATATGTGCAATATGTGTGTGGGTGTGTGGACATATGGATGCATGTTTAATACATACATAATGCATGCATATGTGTATGTACAGTTGCACGGTTGCACCAAACATCTTCATTTGTGTCTATCCGATATGGATTCTCCTTGTCATGGCACAAGCTGAACAACTTTTTAAAATGTATCATTTGACTTTCACTACCATATAAAAAGAAAACATGGTAGTTTTTGGACCTGTGACATACATATAGGGTTAACTATTGATTTGCCCCCTGAACTTGTACCTAACTTTTGATTTACCCCCTATCTTTTTTTTTTTTTAGAAAATTAAGGATACGAACTTCTTTTTTTTGTCAATTTCCCCCCTGCCGTCTAATCCTCAACATTTCATCCAATTTTCTGTTAAATCATTATAAATAAAAAATTGTTGAAAAAATAGAAAAAAAACCTACCCCACCCACAGACCCATCGCCCCCCTCTCCCTCCCCTCTAGTTTTTTTCTCCTTCTCATCCTCTCCCTGATGCTTCTCCCCAGGCCAACCAGCCCCACCCCCAGCGACTCCAGCTCAGCCCCTCCAACCCTCTCTCTCTCTCTCTCTCTCTCTCTCTCTCTCTCAACCCAGCTGTATTTCCACTCAATATTGTCACCTCCTCCTCCAAAGGATGCAACCCTTTCCTCTCCCACTCATACCCACCTCCCCATCCCCCAGCTCAACCACTCCAACCCCCTCTCTCTCTCTCTCTCTCTCTCTCTGAATGGTCAATGGGAGTAAAGGAAAGCTCATATAGAACTCATAAACACAATCAGAATGTTTTTCTGTGTCTCTTAGCCTATCAATGCCCAAGTCAAATGGGTATTTAAAATAACAATTGTGTATTGCTTCAATCGGTGAAAACAAAACAATCATGTTGAGTTTTTTAAATTAAAGGTGGGTGTTGATGGCTTTGTGAGTTGGAATTAGGGTAGTGGCTAGTGGAATTGGATGGAATTTGGGGGAGGAGGAAAGGAAGAGAGAGAGAGAGAGAGAGAGAGAAGGCCGTGGGAGTGGCAGGTTTATGTTTATTAAAATTCTTTTATTTTTTGTATTTTATATTTAATGTTACTTTATTTTTCAGTATTTAGTTATTTTTAATGTACAAATTGACCAATTTGCCCCCATATTTAACGGCAAATTGGATGAAATGTTGACGATTTAGACAGCAGGGGGGGAATTGGCGAAAAATAAAAGTTTATATCCTTAATTTTCTAAAAAAAAATGATAGGGGGTAAATCAAAAGTTAGGTACAAGTTTAGGGGGCAAATCAACAGTTAAGCCTATACATATATGAATGACATTGAAAGTCAAGCAATCTAAAGACAAGAAAAGGATCTCTGTCTATGTGTGTGTGTATTTATTTATCTAATCTAATGAAGCTACTCTTTCTTCCATCTAGAGGATATCTACACATGAGGGCGAGCATGCGTAGAAAACAGGTCAGGACTTCTAACCAAAAAAATGTAACATAATTAATTCTATGATTATGCATGCGAGGCACAAGATTTTACCAGCAGAACGGATGTCAACAAACATTATAAAGAATCCTATAAGTTTCATTCTTAAAATGCCAACAGTAATATATGCTAGGAATTATAGGGAAACAAAGAATTCTATTAATTGATAGAAATAGGAATATAAGAAAGTAGCATTAAAACGAACACCACAATATTCTGATCAAACTGACCTAGGAATCTCCAACCCATTAGGAACCATATTCACTATATATAGAGGATCTAGATTTCCAACTGTGTGCTCCAGTAGCACGCCTACCTGTCAATTAGTGGACGAAATTTTAGAGGAACTTGAAGAGGACAAGTAGATATATCCAATTACCACGATGTTGATAAACACTAGATCTGCAGAAGAGGGAGAACAAATACCATTTCAGGTTTATGAAGACACTGCTGAATTAATTCTTCCCAAAGTTCATCATCATGTTGCATATTTACAAACTCCACAGCCTGTACACAGCCATAACATTCATCGTTATCACCCCACACTTCACAGTAAAGAGATAAAAATAACCCCAAAGGAACAACTGAAGCAATCTGTTGAAAGAAAATCCTCTTCCGCATTAAGAGGACATTAGGTACCTCTTCAATATCCCCAAGATTATTTATGATTACAGAAAGGGCTTGTTTCGCATTTCCCATTCTTCCAAGAATGAAAACTTGCTCCCTTAAAAGACCTCTTCCGATACAAATTTCATATGCCTGTGAAGTATATTAAAAAATCAATTCATTGAAAAACATCAAGTTTATCCTAATTGATTTTTTATTAACTGTTCAAACCTTCTCAAGTTTGTAATGTTGACTACTACGAAGAAAAGGAAGTAGCATCTTTGAATCGTAGTCTGCATAAAGCTCTACCTACCACAGTAAACAAACGACAGCACAAGTGTTAAACAATGTGCATAAAAGCAAACACAGATTAAATTTCACCAAACAGCACAAACTATTGTGATAACCTAACACAAGCTATTGCACAAGAAGGAAAAGAGTACAACCTCTTACAATACATTCTAAGCAAGGCATGTAATAAGTGAAATAGAGATCTTAAGGAAGCCTCTTAAAAACAAACCACTATTGCAAACTATATAGTACCTAATACATTTTTTGAAAGCAATAACAAAGATCTGCAACTTCAGTTTCATTCATTCCATATCGAAACGATGAAAGCAAGACAGTAATATAAAGATCTACTCCTAAACAGCAAACCCAGTTGTTTCTTGAAGAACTTGGAAAATACTTGAGGGCAACATAATGGCAGGTCAGATCCAACCACAAGTGATTGAAGATATAATAACCACATTTTAGATGCATTAGGATTTAGGTGAGTTAGTGATCAGTTTACACATAACGAGGTGGAGGGCCGCCATTTTAGGAAGTGCACGTAATAGGCGTCTGAATAAGATGAGACACAAGAGGCAGGAAAATGTATGAAATCAATTCAAAAAACTCATAGTACCTAGGAGTACCAAAAAGAAGGTAGAAAAGCATAAGATATCTGAAAACAAGAAAAGCTGCATCTGCTATTCCATGTGAACCCCTGCATAATCTTGTTTATCACAAATCCCAAGTGTTCAAATTGCATGAGAAAGCACTCTTTTTCTTCAAATCCCAGGAGGCATGTACCATGCATTTATGAATCTAGTAAACTTAGACAGAGAAAATTTTAATACAATATCCAGGAGGCTGCAAGAGTTTCCAAAAGATCCCAGAGACCCAGTTGATTACAAATGTGCGACTGCAAGTATTTCATTTGTCTACCCTGAACTCAATTTTGTCATCGTCTTAATAAGATATATAGAATATTTAACAGACATAACAACTTATATCTAGAACAACTCGAGTATATCACACAGAAACCGTCAATGGAGTTAAGGCAATAATTATTTAAGTAGCTTCATCACACATACAGAAACCGGTATAAACACATGAACAAATCAATTATTTCAGCTTCCACAATACCTGCATATCATGAAAATCTTTTCCAGCATGAGGGTTTGCTTCAAATAGTGAATGCAAATATGCATGCAAGAAATATCTGGAATCACACTTGTCCCTTGCATTCAAAAGTTGTTTGACCACTTCAGATGGAGTAATTAAATCCTTGTTTTGAATCAATAAAGGAACTGCCTGCTTGCAATCTAGCATCATCAGTTGGACAACCTACAAGCGCACAAGCGACAATCAACCACAATAGAAATTAGCATGAGCCAACATGATAGAAATTAAAACAGTGACAAAGTTGATAATTCATCTCTTGATGAGTTATCTACATTGCAAGTGTTCTATGTTAGATAGAAATTATTGTGTTGCTATTGATACCAGGACCCAATTTTTTGTTCTGAAATTGTGAAGGTGGCCTCTAGAAAATCAATGCAAACAGAAATTAAAACAGTGACAAAGTTGATAATTCATCTCTTGATGAGTTATCTACATTGCAAGTGTTCTATGTTAGATAGAAAATTATTGTGTTGCTATTGATACCAGGACCCAATTTTTTGTTCTGAAATTGTGAAGGTGGCCTCTAGAAAATCAATGCAAAAACCATAAACATTTGGAAAATCAATGCAAGAAAACCAAGATAAATTTTTTAAACACAAATTTCTTCTGTTGATAACAAACAACTATAACAGTAAATACAGGAACAATAAGTTCCAACTTACAATATGTAAGTTGTGATCTTATTCACCATACCTTTTCCCGAATGGAATCATATAAATTGTGCTTTTCGATGAAGGAAAATATGTCTGGCTTCAAAAGCTGGAAATAGAAAAAGAATAAAAGAAAATTTAACCAATTAGATATCGACTTTCACAAAAATCCTACGAAGATGTTAATATTCTGTAACAGATTCTAATTGTAGAAGTGCTTTGTGAATAAACGGAATAAATATGCATCAAGAACACTTACATCAGCATATAGTGAAAATGCTTTTTCATATTGCCCATCAATCACGTACAACTCTGCTAGAGCCTGAAAAAGAAAAGGGGTGTCTAACAAAATCAAACTTATCATAATATTCAAAATTCATATTCCGTATCAATAATTTCTGACTGACCTCCTTAAGAGCATCTGTCATGGAAGATGCATTCAGCTGAGGTTCTATGGCTGAGATAACAGGCAATGAAGAATAAATCACCGGTGGCCAAGATTTAACAGTTGACAAGAGCTCCGTATGAAAAGATGGATTTGTAGCCAGTGCTACTAGAGCAACCTAACGGCACCAAAAGAGAGAGACAGAGACAGAGACAGAGAGAAACAAGATAACATATGATTCTGCAGTTGGCAAATAAATAAAAAGTGTGACACAACTTTAGCAGTTCACAGAGGTAATGGAAAATTGTCCTCACAAACCTCATAAGCAGTATCACGTAGTCTTGGGTTTTCTGTTGGTATATATGGGACTAATACTGGAAGCTGACGCAGATGAGCAAAGTGGAAAACCCATCTGTGAAGCATAGTCCACTGCCAGTTATTTTGAAGAATTGAATGACACTAGCCAATTATTTACTGGGAATATTGTAAAAAACGGGTTATATAGAATGGTAATTAGAACCTTTCCCATGCTGAAGCAGATCCTCTCAACAATTTGGGACACAAAGATGCAGCTTCAGCATATTTTCTTTCCACAATCAAATGATCAAGGTATCTAGAACCAACCTACAGAGAGGAGAAAAAATTGAACAAACTGTGCAATTAAATCAACTAAATTACATGGATTTTAACAGTGGAAGTACAAGTGAAATATGTTCATCAATTACAGAATAACACTACGTAAATAAAGTTAACGGATGCATGTGCAACAGCATTACTAAAGAGCCATCAAAGAAAAATCCAAAAATTTTACAAGGGAAGAGAGAAAAGCAATAAAATATAAGCCATGGTGCTTCAAGCCGCTCCAAAAACTTTGTTCGCTATATTACTTTGGTCATTATGTGCACGCAAGGCACATAAATCTTAGAAAGTCTTTCCATGTTTCTTTGGTTATATTTATTCTGTATTTAGCCCACCCAATAAATAAAAAATAAAATGTGAATGAAACTTTCTCTAAGAGAACATACAAATATTCTTTTAATATCGGGAGGTTGTAGAAGTGAAGATTAGTTTCTAATTATTCAATGAACATCTTGCATTTCATAAAATTTAGAGGCAATATAGTCCTTTTTTCTGATCGAAAGGGCAATATAATCCTTACGAAGGCCATGCTGTCAAACTTTCAAGCATTAAGATATGTTTCTCACGAGGATGATTATAATGATTTTGCCTATGGTTCATAATCTCATAAAGCCTCCTAGCATAAAAAAGAAAAAATTCATAAAACCAAAGTGCATAAGAAATTAAATTATCTATATTCATATGACCCAACTGATTTAAGTGTACTTAAATCTAATAAACAATGATACCGCACGATGTTAGCCAGAAGGGTGAAAAATGTGTAACTTGAGGAAGACAAGAGCTGCTAGAATGCTTAAGCACACAACATAGACACATTTTCATCTTTTCTATACTGTGATATGAGAACGAACGAATTCATACCTCATCAAGAAGTTCACTCCGTCCCTGGCCTGCTTCAACAGCAGCCAAAGCTTTTTCATGCCAACCATGTTGAAGAAGCCAAGCAATATGATCTTCAGCATCCCTGAAAAGAATATATGCATTCATGTCTTGATCAAGTTAACGAGATCCCGCTTAACGTTATAAATATTACACAGTTGCATAAAACTCGACATGTACTCCTCCACATAAGTACCCCCTCAACTTCTTATTCAATTAATCTTAAAGGCATATCAATTCTCGGTTGGATGCCCTTGGTAAGGGAAAGAAGGCCTTAATTTTATGGGGTTGTCTAGTGCATTCAATGCTCTGGAATATTTGGCTTGAGAGAAACAGAAGGATTTTCGATGATTACAGCGGTGGGAGTGAGTTAAAGACTTGAGAGAGAGTCAAATTCTGGGCGGCACTATGGGCATCTGTTACAACAGCATTCAAGGATTATTCCTGCTCCTATATAGCGAGGGATTTAGTAGCCGCCACTGTGTTGTATCTCTTACTGTATTTCTATCTCTTTCTGTTTTAGTGTTGTGCTGGTTATTGTAGCCTCTTAGTTCTGTGTCTTTGGGGGGGGCCAATAGCTTCATAGGTCTTAATGTTCTTTGTTCCCGTTTGTGTACTTCCTTTGTTTATTCGTTAATAAAATCGTTTATCTTCAACAACAACAAAATATTTAATTAATCTTAAAGACAAATTAACACTATCATCACTATACAAGTATGGTAAAGATTTACAGTGCTAATTAATCACCCAACTAAGCTCATCCCCTGAATCATCCTTGAGTCAGGTGTCAACATAAGAAGGCAACAATTTAAGGATGGATGTACAAAATATAAAATAGTAAATCTAGAAGAACAAGAGTTTATGATTTAACTCAATCCTTATGGGCTTCAGTTTCCTCAGACTTTAGGGATTGGTCCTTTCATGCTATTGTGTCTGATTCTTTATCTCTGCTGGAAACTTTGGTGTTTCTGGCCGGAACTCAAATTCCTTTTGTCTAAGATAAAGGTTAAATTTTCTCATATCTATAGGGAAGTTAATTCTTTCAGCAGACTATTGGGCTAAAAAAGAGGTGAGTTTCTGATTTCTTTGAATAGTTTAACTCAAGAATAACTTTTACATGATGGCTTCAGTTTGGTAGTTTAAGGGGTTGGTGTTAGAATGTGAAGGTAAAAAGTCCCACATTGGAAAGTTAGAAAACCTGGTAAGGGCTTATAAGGAGTTGGGCTACTCCCCTCATTGCCAATTAGTTTTGGGGTGGAACCTCAACTTCCTTCATGGTATCAGAGCAGGTTAGCCCACGTGTGAAGCCCAACAGCCACACGTGCTCCACGTCCCCCAATATGTGTTGTCCACGTGCTAGGCTTGAAAATTCGCCTCACGTGCGGGGGCGTGTGAGAATGTGAAGGTAAAAAGTCCCACATTGGGAAGTTAGAAAACCTTGCAAGGGCTTTTAAGGAGTTGGGCTACTCCCCTCATTGCCAATTGGTTTTGGGGTGGAACCTCAACTTCCTTCAGTTGGCTGCTCTATTGTTTTGGCTTAAATGATGCTCTATGTAGCTCCTTCGTTTTATTGTTTTAGTTTTCAGTCTCGGCGTATTCCTGAAATTAAAAAAAAAAACAAGACAGATACCTTCCTTTTTTGTACTAACTATGTTCTTAAAGCATAACTTTTATATAGATGAGACAGTAATACGACATCATTCCAGGTCACAAGCACCAAAAATTTACTTATGACACAGAGATCGATTGATCGCTACGGACCTTGAGAGTAGATGGAGACTATTTACTATATGTACTTCAAATCTTCAAACATAATTTACTCTATAGACAAGCACAAATAAAAAAATACAGCACTGACCTGGGTTTTGCAATGACTACATCCTTTGGGGATACAATATAGTACAGTGGTTCATCACCTTCAGCCCACTGACCACCAGCATAGCTGCTACCTAAATTCAAACTAAAGGGTTTTACAGCTATATAGATGTAATTATTCTGCTATTCTTAGACCATGAACTTCAAAATTAAAGTATGTTAACCTGAGAAAGGAGCGTGAGCAAGGGAATAGTCCTTTGCTTTGTAATGCTCAAAGCCATGTACAGGTAAAGCATCTGTTGAAAGCTCATCATTATTCCATGTTACAATACGTACTTCTGGTCTCTGTGCATTTCCCTGCTTCAAATAAATTATAATTAGAAACAATAACAGGGCGGTAATTCAGATAACATATCTGTGAGACATGTGCGGTAATTCAGTTTTTGCTAACATAATTGTGTAGAAATGGGTTGTGGTTGATAGATCGCAACAAAAGCTTTCCATATATATAATTTTCATGAAAAATGGACATGTATAATGAAAGTATGGTATTTAAAGTTGTTTTAAAAAATGGTACGTTTGTAAAATTTTTATTTTTTTATTTAACCTATGATAGTGTTTGACTTTTCTGCTTGATTTAAAAGTTTAAAAGTCATTGGATAAGCTAATAAAAAGTATCTACCAATAACCTAAATCTAAAAAGCCCTTTATTATAAGCACCAAAAACACACACAAATAAGTCAGCAAAAAATTATGGAAGCTAAATAAGGTGAAAAAGGAATATCAGGAAAAAAAAAAAAGTTAAAACCCACAAACAAAAAAAAGGAATTTCCACCAAGAAATCAAACAAAGTTTGATCTTAAACAATAGGTTCCAAAAATGCAGACACAGCAAAGCGTCTAATCCAATCCAATCCAATCCAACCCATTGGCTGGCTCGTAAATGCAATAAATTGTATAAATGTGAATAAGGGGGTATAAAACATTAAACAAAAAGGGTCAATACACACATTTTCAAAAAGTATAATGAGCCACCTTCAAGGAGAAATCACACTTCCAGCAACTTTACAATGTCCCCCCCACCACCACCCCCGCCCCCCACCAAAAAAAAAATGAAAAAATGAAAAACAAACGGAGGGGAAATAGAATAAAAATACAGAGTAACAAGATGTATGTCATACAGCATGAGGGAAAATAAAATACCTGCCGTGATGGAACAGAGCTACTAAATTCCTTCTCCCCGTCTTCTTCACCAGGGATATAGGCTAGAACGACCAAAGAGTCACCAAAAGGAGCAACACCAGAAATGAAATAGCTGGTCTGAAAGGATGCCACAATATCCACCTGGTTCATATTAGACATTGGCATCGAGACATGCTTAACTGTCCCATTGGCTGCTCTAGACTGATTTGTTTTTATCGACGTTATTTTGATTGATGTTCCCCAGCCAATGACCAACAATGTGTCGTCCTGAATGTGATGAAGGACAGTGAGAAACCCATGAAAACAACACCATAACTACTTTATTTAAGGGACTAAGAAAAAGAGATGCAAACTAGGAAAGAAGGTTTGGCTGCCATTTTTCATATTGAAAAATTAATCTTAAATAGTTATGAAGATGATGTGCTAAATATTCTAAGGTTAAATCAGTTTTTAGAGTCATTAATTGTAACATCATAGCATTATAATGTGCAGGTGTAGAAATGGAATTTCACATTTTTCCCGTACAGAAACTTTCATTATATTAGTTCTTTATGGGAGACAAAACTTTCTTTGAAAAAGGAACAAAAGTGCAAGAATAGTGAACAAGGAGTCCACTCCTAAAAAGGATTACATGTGAAACCTGCAACCAACAACTCTACCCTAAGATAGATACAACAAAGACCAGAGAAATGCCCAAAAAAAAAACTACAAAGTAGCTCCTTTCCCTATGATAAAACAGCAGAAAATGACAAGCCTCTATACTCCAAAGCAAACCATGCCCAAAGTCGAACTGTCCTATAAGCACTCCATCACCTCACCAGGCACATTTTCAAAAACCCTCCTATTCCTTTCAAACCATATAACCCAAAAAAATTTCATCATAGCACATCTCCCCAGAGCTACCACCCATTCTCCTTCCCCAAAAAAATTTAAAGTTCTCACATATAAGTGCATTACATGACACCGAAATAGACCAATATAAACTTGTCTCCTTGAGCAGCCTTGGCCATAAAGACAAAGCCACTCGACCATGAAGCAACAAATGATCCGCTGCTTTATTTGCTCCAAGAAAAAACAGTGTCTGAATTTGACAATTTCCTATATGTAGTTATGCCAAGTCTAATTTTTTTTTTTTTTTTATAGAGTTGTGAGAGGTTTGACTGGCTTTTCTTAGGTTTTACTTCAGCTGTTAAAGAACTATTAGATACCTATGATATTTGAAATTCCAATTCCAATTCCTCCCAATCATTTCTCCGTTCCTTCCCCAATTAAAATCCTAAAACAGCAAATTTTGCTACTACCTTTATCCCTCCACTGCCACTTGAAACAGCATTTACAATCCCAAAATTAGCTGCTGCTCCTGAATTCCAGCAATCTTCTATAAAGTCCCTTCTACGCTTTAAATTTAGGACCTCTTTGGAAATGCTTTTACAAATGATAAAAGTGCTCCCAAATAATTAAAAGCACTTCTGGTAGCAATTCGCAAAAATATTAAAACTGCTTCTGGGTTATAGAAGCACAGCTTAGTTCTTTATGGAGCAGCACCGTACAGCTTCCAAGCACATTTACAAGAAGCACTTGGCCTTTTATAAAAGAACTCATGTGCCTCTAACAAAATTGCTTCCAGCTGAAGAGCAACTGAGTAAAAGCACTTCCTAAGAAAGCACTACCAGCAGGCCCTTAATCTTTCAAGTTTCAACCCTTATTTCATTCTGCCAAATCATACAACTCTAAGACTCAAAGCTCCGGCCCCCCACCCACACACCCCCCCCCCTCCTCAAATACAAGCACCTTATGTAAGTTTACTCCCATGCACCACGTCAAAAATTATTAAAGCGTGGTCCACCTATTTACTGCATGTGCCTGTAAATACTGTGAGCATTAACTCTTTCACTAACCTGCCAAACTAGGTGAGGGAGCAAAAGCTCAGGTCGTGGGCTTCCTCGTGGTCTTTCAATGAATGTTATACGCTGATCATTTGCAGTATCGTATACTTTCACACCTGCATCATTAGCCCAAGCAATGAGACTTGTTCTCCACTTCACTGCATGTATAGGACCTTCACCAGAATGCAAAACCTAGAAAGACATATTTGCTTTAAGAAATTAGAAAGCATACCGGGAAAATTCTTTTTGACATGCAATAATATTAGCTTAGTACAAACCTGATCTCTAAAGCCCAGCCATCTTTTTGTATTATAATATAAATGACCAGCTAAACCACCAGCTGCAAATCTCCTAGAAGATTTTTTTGCATAATCTGGATCCAGAGCAATAGCCTTCATTGGGCGATGATACTCAAACCTCATTTTCTCATCAGTAAAAAGGCTGTTTATTATAACAGACCCATCGTCTGAACAGCTTCCTATATATTCACCTTCTATGTCAAAGCTAAGATCATTCACTGCAGCAGTATGAGCAGGGAATTCCTTAACCTGCAACAAAGCCAATCAAGTACATGATATTGTCTTCAATGATAAATCAGGGGCCAAATGCAACAATCTTTCAACCTTAACACGATATGAGACGGAAAAAAAAGGTCACTGAATGCATTGGCAGAACAAATTTGATGACAGTAATGCTTAGAAGGCAGACAACAGAAATCCTTAGTTTATTTAATTTTTCGGTAAACCACATAACCAAACAATAAGCATAGAGTAGTAGAGTCCTACTCTTTTCTTAGGAAGCAGAAAAAAGACTATTAATTGATTTAAAGTGGTACCAATTATACTGTCACACATATGAACATGAAAACTCATGCGCAAATAATTCTGTTTTCAGTGGACATTATATATTCTCTAAAATCATGGTGTTGATTGCTGCACTTGCTGCGCAACAAGGTCCTCTAACTTAGAGAAAATTCAAACATCTCCAAGTAACATGTCTCATCTATTGTATATAAACTTAATTTGTAAGCATACTAGCCTTACACTTACTGTATGCCTATATTGTCGCATGGACTCTATCTATGTCTAAAAGAATTAACAAACATGATAATGCAACAGATAACAACCAGATAAGTAAAGGATTTACTAATGGCAGCAGCCTATATGAAATGCAAATTCGAAACTACAAATATCGCAAAGAAATCATATCGGTAAACCACCTACTAATATCACAAACAACCTACATTGCTTGTCGAGGTTAAACGTTGCATCTCTAGCCTAACGCAGAGGTAATTGCCCAATCAAAAAAAAAAAATGCTTTTGATTTTAAGGTTTTAGGAGAAGTAGAATTCAATCATCACACAAGGAGTGTAAGTTCAACAGTGCTGAAATTGAATTGGCACAGAAACAATTGATTAAGATTTTTTTTTTTCGTAGTTTGATTTTTTTTTTTTCGTAGTTTGATTGGGCAGGCAATAAAAGTACAGCAAAATCAAAATAAACCACCTTACAATACTGCATATAATTAATAAAATGAAAGTATACTAAAAGGGCTTTCTTTTTCTCTTTTTTGTTTCCATTTGAGCAATTGAAAACCCCCATGGACCATCCCTTAACTAATCTCCACTGGGTTCAAGCTCTTAAACCCAATTTTCCAATAAACCCGCAAAAAATTTAAAATTATCAAGAAAAACCAGATCCAGCCAGCTCCATTTTGATCCAAACCAAACTCATATCCCACGAATGACACTAACATAACCTTCAATACAATGATTCCAACAACGACGAATTCAGAAGATAAAAAACTGAATTGAAGCCAACCTCAGTCCCTCACCTGATTCCCGAGAAAATCGAGAATATGAACGGTGCCCCCGTGAGTTCCGAGCGCGATCATTCGTTCCGCGACGGCGATACACGTAGCCACATCGCTCGTCAAGAGCGTAGGAATGCTGCCTCCCATTCGCTGGTACTTTAGCCTCGGCTCCTCCTCCTCCTCTTCATCTTCCTCTTCTTCTTCTTCCTCTTCTTCCTCTTCTTCTTCTTCGCCCTCTTCCTCTCTCTCATCGTCTCCTTCTACGCCGTTATCTGGCGGAATTGGAGCCATTGTTATATACCTCGTCAGCTCTTCTCGTGGATGTTCGTCGTCTCAGAGAGAAGAATGATTTGAGTTTCAGAGTTGAGAGTTGAGGGAGAGATCTGTTTGGTTTGAGCTTTCTTTGTGTTTTTTTTTTTTAATTTTAATTTTTTTAATAATTTGGGGTCTTTCCTATTTAATGACGGTTTGTGAGTTATTTACAAGGCGACAAGAAGAGTGACGAATGCAGCATGAGCGCCGCGTGGATAGAATGGGACTTCTCACTTGGGTTGGGCGTCGTTGTGTTAGTTTTGACCTGTCACTTGCTGACTTTATGTGGTCACTTTGCGAAGAATCAATAATGAAGGGAATAAACCCAACTTTTCATAAGTTAACCTAATCCTTTAATGAATTTATATTTTAAATTTTATTCTTAAATAAAATGATCATAAACGACATAATTGAATTTAAAAACAAATTAACTTTATAAAAGCACTTCCATTCATTTGTCATGGCAAAAGACAAGAGGAGGTAAGGGCAATTACTATTCATGTGAATCATACACGTCCTAGCAAATTTTTCCTTGATAGGGGTTGTTTTTGGAGCCTCAAAAAAGGATAGGTGGAAGTGTTCTAAGGGGTCATTTGGTATGGGGACTACGATGTACTGGACTAAATTCATGGACTGGCTTGGATTAGTTCAGATTGACCTAAGCTGGATTATATACTGACCTATATTTGGTGCTGCATCGGACTAAGAAGTTGGACTGTAAAAATAGCGAAGACCTATGTTTGATACTCTGTCAAACTAAAAAATAATTATTTACATATTTTTCAAGTGTATTTTTGCTCATTTATGTCTAAAAAAAGATTTAAAACAAAAAAAAGTTGATATTTTTTAAAGGCTAAAATTATAATAAATAATGAAATATATATAATTTATTAAATAAAAAATTCTTGTATTTTTGCTTGATCTCAACTACATGTGCGAATAATTAGAGTTTTGGTTTTTAATTTTTTTTTTTTCTTCTATTTCTCAAATGATGGACGAACTCGAAGTCCCAACACAAGATATACAAACTTCTCATATCTAACTTTGGATTTTTTCTGTATTTAAAAAAAAACGGTGCAAACTTCTCCGATCAAACTTCTCAGCTGAACACCTTACAACTTATGATCATTCCCTCTTTTTAGCTTCTTCTAAAAAAATTTCCCAGCCAAACACTTTTTAATTGTGATTCTCTCACAAATTTCATCAATTCTTTCTCTAATTTTCTTCCTAATCACTTTCATTTACTCAATTTGTTCATACAATGAACGATTCAACTCAATCTCATGCGTCACCATCATTTTCTCCACTCTCTGCATCTACCATGGCTGCTTCGACTCTTGCGTCAATTCAATGAATCATGGCTTCTATTTGAGGCCCATGGTCGTCGCCCTCTGAGCTTAGGGCCAACACCGTGCACTATTCTGATAGCCAAACAGAGACCCAAGACTCGTCGTCCCTGATCCACATGTACGACAAGAGCTCGACCTATTTCGGCTACCATTAGCAGCGGCAAGATCTCAAGGCGATTATTGGGTTTCAAGCATTTTCGATGAACTCGAGTTGGGAAGTGGAGGACTCAGCATCTATTGCCCGGACTCGTGTCTAGGTTAAGAAGAAAAAGAAACTATTATTGCATTGGACTTGCGTGTTTTGTTTAGCGAGCTCATTATTTTGCAAACCATGTTTCAAGCTCGCTATATTGGAAGAGCGAGTGAGACAATTTTTTTACTGTTGGACTATATAATCTCGTTTAAGTTGGTCCCCCTCTTACCAAACATGGGTTTCAAGTGCTATTTAACCCAATCCAGTCCAATGAGGCCTCCCAAACATGCCCTAAGGGGCTTAATAACGCCAGTATTTAAGAGAAGTTACTCATGCACTCTATGTCTTAGAGCACTTCCATCCATGGTGCCATGACAAATGGCAGGGCCAAATAAGGGCATGCACTATTCACATGAATAGTGCCTACCCTAGCCCGTTTTTTTTTTTCCCCACCCATTGCCATGGCAAAGGCAATTACTATTCACTTTGGGTTAAATTTATTTTTATGTAAGAGATTAATAATAACAAAATTGCTAGGCATGTATAAAAAAAGATTTTGAATTTTTTTGGTAATTTTTCAGAATTTTTTTCGATTTTAAAAATAATTATTTGATGACGTCGGCGCCCTCAAGCAACAGATCGAGATGTTCTTTCCTTTAGGCCTGCCCAATCTTCATGGAGCCCATCATCTGCTCGGGCTGGATTTGTGCAGTGGAGTGGGTTTCTTCAACTTGGGGGGACCTTTTGTCCAGGCTAGGCTCTGGGTGGAAGTTCTCTTATGTTCGAATCCTTATTCCCAATATCACTTGTATAGAAGAACCGAACCAAACTAGACCTATACGGTTTTTGTCTGGTTCGGTTGGTTTTCAATTTGGAAAGATAAAAAAGTGAAGAGGTGAAAAAAAAAAATACAAAGAAGAGAGGAAGAGGTAGAAGAAAGAAATTTATGAAAAGATATAGAGGAAGAGAAAGGGTAGGAAATATGTGGGGAAAAGATAAAAAGGGCAACAAGAAGAATGATTATGGTTCACCGAAAAGGAAAAAGAAGTAGGGTTAAAGTTGTTATTTAGTTGGGTATAAATGGAAACTAAGACATTTGGGTATTAATTGGACTATGTTTACACCCAAAATAAACAGCCAATAAGGGCAAGACACGTGGAGGAAATTGGGCTTGGTCAGAGGCGCCCTCGGCACCCTACCTACCGATCTCTCCATTAGGGCAACGCCCTCTCCTGGGACACGTGGCGCGCTCCCAAGCGACGCCCACAGTCCCACATCGAAATAATCAACAAAATGCACACCTCCCAAAACCTATAAAGGGAGTCCAACTACCCAGAAAAGAGGTAATCAGAACTAACGGCATACAAGCCTATTGATCTGTCAGTTGAACTTTCTATTCCCGAACTTACTTAAGCATCGGAGAGCCTTCGGCCGGTACCACACCGGTGCCCTAGGTCCTACCGTGCGTTTGCCTTTATTGCAGATCGCACAGTCTACCGAAGCATCAAGGCTACCGAAGACACAAATTTACTAAGTTGACCCTCTAAGTCAGAGAACCACTTTTTGACGTCAACAGTTTGGCGCCGTCTGTGGGAAACGATAAAATCAACCCTTTATCCCGAACATATGGGGACCACTGAAAAAACTACGTTCGTACCGCGAGAGGGGATGCCGTTCGGCATGCCAAGCGGGGTAAGCCCTGCGCCAGCCCCCTACACACCGGCAACAAATCCCCCTGTGATCCAATCTGCCGAAAACGCGGAGCTTTTAGCCCAAGTCGTGTCCCTTCGG